GGGGTGAAACTTTCGGAAGGATGGTCATTGTTGGAAACGCAAATCCATACATGGTTGTCCAGTTAATAGCGTCCATTGCCCAAGCGTAAGGATCGGGACTGCCAACATATTGGCAGCGGCTGTTGAAGGCTGACACACATGGATGCATGTGCAGCGATCGAGCCCTTGGAAGGTGTTCTGTACTACCGATGGGTTATATTGCCCCTGGATAGAGCATCTGCTATGAAATTCAGCTTACGGGCGACGTGAGGTACCGACAATGTTATGCTGTTCTGCACCACATCAGGAGATTCCTGGTATGTAAACAAGACTAGGGGACCGTATGCCTCCATGGTATATGAGAACACAGTCAGAATTGACCAGAACTGTCTGGCTTTTTATCGTTAGATGAAAGTGAAGCAGAGCCTTCCTGACTGCCAAACATGGGTAATATTGACATGAAGGATCCTTGCGGGTACGAGACGGATGCGAGTAACCTAGGGCTTGGGTGCTGAGGGCGCTATTTACTATGGTATAAAATAATAGTAGATTGGAGCTCTGGGATAGAGAAATATGTAAATGTAAGGTTTAACAGGTGAGAAAGTTCCAGAAGTGGACATACAATACCAAGACAAATTTTCAGTCAATCTGGCCGATTTGACCCTGGTAATTTCCTAGACGTGGTCCAGTGACGTTGACATTCTTCAACTGAGTTTGGCTGACCATCCTGTATGTCTGAAAATTAGTAGACGTGAAACAAGAGGTTGGGTTGATTTTTTTAATGTTGTTGCTTCCAGGTGGCATGAAAACCCTGCAATTATTCACATCAAATAAAACGTTTGCGTAATTTCAACTAACACGTTATTTTGATAGAACTGTCAGACATACTAGTACGTAAACGATGTCAGTGAAGGTCGGTCTGTTTCTAGGATCCTCCTCCCAACAGTCTCGCATCAAAGTGTACCTAAAATCGTCAACAACAGTAAGAAATATATAGTAAGTCAACATTAAAATTAAGGGGGATCCTGTTACTCTAAATAGGATTGTTTGTAGTTAGAAAGGAGCCCCCTTCTTTGTCTGGTTTTAACTGAATCGCGTCAACACAACTTTCGAAATATTGTCCACTAAAAGGATATACAAAATGGACTCCGAATCAGAAACATGCAAAATTTCAAAAAATTGCCAGAGGGATGCAGCTCGCTCGCAAATTGCGATAAGTCATTCCACCGCCCTTCTATTTTTGGTATTGGAGTATGTCGCGTAACAAGTACGACATTTCAAATCGGGGCATCCGGGGCACACACATTTTCTTTGGGGACACCGGAAGCCAATGAGCTCCTGCTTTTACATAGGTTGTACAACCATTTAAATCGTCAACTGAGACGCCAGAGCATGAACCTTCACGGGGGACGTGCTACTTCCCCCCATACGCCTCTGCCGGAGGGAGGTCAGTCAGTAAACAAATCTTGGTAAAATTTTCATCATTAAAGGATACAGGGCTAAACGAAATTGCTTATGTATGCAAAGATTTAATGCATGACAATCTAGTTATGAATATTTCCATGATTTCTAAATAAATAAATAAATGTATAAGCATCTTTATCAACTTTTTCGTTTGAATTAAACGAGCTGAACAAAATTACGAATTAAACCGATTAGACATTAGTAGAAGAAAAGCAGCTCACGTGCTCAGGCATACGCATTCGTAACATACTAGGGATTGAAAGAAAATAGAAAAATATAAAGAAGTTACATGCAAGTCATGCTCTACACGAATATGAAATATTTACATTTCGTCCAGACAGTTGTCAGGCTTTGGCAAGCGATATCCTTTCTTAAGCATTTCAGTTAGCATCTCGTTCCGGATAGACGGATAAGGCGTTCCTCCTACAAAAGACAAGTTAGTTTGTATCATTACTGTAGAGCGATGTGTAATTATAGTAAAAGGTTGCAGAAGAGCCTGGAGTCCCAATGGTTAGAGCAAATTTTGACTGAAACTTTTGGTGGTTACATTTATGCCAAAAGCATAAAGGTTTGGGGACAAATCGACCTGTGCAACATTTAACCTCATTATTTTCTTTTGATCAGAGCGTTACTTTAGTTAAGTCATTTATTCCATAGTGAAAGCAAGATACATTGAGCTCGTACCAAATTCTGTAGATTGGAAAAAACATTGCATACTTACCGAGAGTGGCCATTTCCCACAAAAGAATTCCAAATGACCATCTGAAGAGAATTATCAAAGAAATCAATACCTTTTAAACATCTTTTTGTGGCGGGAAGGGTGTTTTGGTTTTGTGTTAGTTTGTTTCTTGGCTGAGCTGGGCTTAGCTTGGCTCAGATTTACAGACCAATGTATTCTTGCCTAGCTCACAGGTATCTGTTTTAGAGAGCAGACAGTCCACCAGTCTCTTAAGGGTTGTTACTGAAGGTTGGAAAGGTTAATGCAAATACAACTAAGAATAGCAGGGTTAATTAATGAGACAGCAAGCGGTAATCCACCTGGCGTCTCAACATGGCTGCCAGGACTGCAGTATGGGCATGGAAGGAGGTATATTGGGAAATTAATTTAGTGGACCGACCGGCGAATAATGAAAACGCCGACAGTACAGACTGCGTCAAATAGCGCAGAGACGCTTACAACAACAGTTCAAACTTACACGTCACTTTGAGTGGTGTAAACCTGATGAATCATCGATTCAATGGCCAACCAGCGGAGTGGTACACGCTTCTGTCGAAATAGTATTAAATTGGCATAAATTACGTTCGTGTTTTCAAAAATTTCGTTCAAGGAACATTTATGTTGAATTTTAACGGAAAGAAAGGGCACGACCGTTTTATTTGGGTTGAATGCATTGATTTTTCTGGCCGTTGAAGATGCCGTTAGAGAAGCTTTAATCTTCAGTCTATATCTGAAATTGTTTAAATTTCAGTGATAGACTGAATATAGTTCCTCGCCTTTAACCTCTGCTGCCTGGGTTCGATTATCAGCTCGATCCACATGTAGACTGAATTTTCAGTCCCTATCCGGGACCCAAAATATTGTTATATTATTATCTGGTGTGTTCCTCCCACCTCCAAACCTATACTGCTCCTTATTGTTTCCGCTATATACATGTGGCACCATTGTATGCCATCAGCTCGACCACTTGTAATGTTTTCATTGTACATCGCATTTGAACATAACTGTAATTTGCACTTGATATATGAATAAATTGAATTAAGTTAAAACAATAAGGAGAAAAGTAAAGAATCAAAACAATTTTCTGCTCCTGATTCCGATGTTCTATTCCATGTACATGTTGGAACTGCAACATGTTCACGAGTGGGTATGACGTTGGAATGGCAAATTGACATCAAAATTCGAGTACATAGCTAGGATTTCGGGTCTCAGTCTTCAAAGACCTGAGGCAAAAATGATACAAACAAAATGTCATCAAACGTTACCCCTGATGTCTGGACATAGACATCCTGTCCTCTTGACATTCCAAAATCTGACACCTTGGCAATCATACCCTCTCCAATGAGAATGTTTCTTGCAGCTAAATCCCGGTGAATCACCTGTAAGTAACCAGGCAATCTTAGATTTTCGCATTATTAATAAAAGCCGTGATTTTAAGTGGGCACTGCCACTTTCTGCAAAAACCCCGTCAAGCAAAATGGACATTTCATTTTTTGAATGTATTCTATTCTGCAAGCCCTGTGTCTCCTGTGGCTGTCGCCTAGCCACATTTGACAACTAACCTCACTCATGAGGCGACAAAATGTGTACCAGTGTTAAAGTAACTACAAACTACAAAATACAGCGTGGTGGAAAATAATACTTTTTCAAATTTACTTTTTTTCTGTTTTCCTATGTCTTAATAATGCAATACCTTTCTTTATAAAGCTCGGTCCCAAAACTGTCCAAATCCTCAATGGATTCTCAAAATGAGCAAATTTCCCGCTTATAATACAGATACAATTCGGAAAAAAATCATTTTCTCTTTATAACTCCCAACAGACTTTAAAGTATATTGACTGAGCAATAATGCAGCAAAAATGCAGCAATGGTTTAAATTATAAAAGCACAAACCATTGATGTGTTTACATTTGTTAGATTTTCAAAATGGCAGCTGTTGATACAGCGTCAAATTAGAACAAAGCAAAACAAATTTGCTTTTGCAGGCATACTTTGGCTTCACGTTGCCCGACCAAGCAAATAATGTTTTGCGAAAAGGTCATGTTGTATACGATGTGCAAAATGTTGCGTACTCCTGCTTTGGCAAGATGCTCCATTCCCCTGGCAACATCCAGAGCAATCTTGGCTAGTTGCTCCCAAGTCAAGACATCCTCATCTGTGTCTGACTGTGAGCGAGCCATCTGTAGGTAGCTACGCAGATCACCATGCGGAAGGTACTCCAACGCAACATACAACACATCTAAATTAAAAAAAAAATCCATGGCCATGGAAATACTACAAAAGAAAACAAAATATGCTTTACAGTTAGTTCATAGATTAGTTGTCTTACGTAACAGCGATATGGTGTGAAACGAGGCTTTTATGGTCACGTGATGGGTTTTACTGTGCCATAAATTCCACAAACAAACTTTCTTTGTACGTGGCCACAAGGCCAAATTTTAATACTGATGTGAAACTACTTTTTCAATATAACCTTGGCATTCTAAGATTTCAACAAATCTAAATATTGGCAAAATCAATTACTAAGAGTCACATTGCTAAATAGATAGTGTATTTAACCTTGATCACTGGAAATGAACAATGAGAAAGAGATGCCTTTATTGTTTTCAGCCTGAATACGTTTGGCGCCTATCTTGGGCTAAATGCATTGCAAATTGGCTTGTTGGACTCAAAAGTGCCACATACCTTGGTGCTGACAAGCCCCAAGAAGCAATACAATGTTAGGATGATAGCCAATGGAGGCCATTGTCCAAAACTCATCTATGAAATCCTCTCTCTTGAAACAGGTGGTATGCCCTGTAAGTTATAAAGATGTTATTATGAATATATTTGTAAGCCCTTGACCAGGAAAAAGGCAGTTTCCATCCGTGTCGAACCACCTTTCATCGAAATTTAGCCAACTGCTGCAACATTTAGCTGGAAGGGAATTGATTGTCCAATTGTTACTCATATTCTTGGAAATACATTTCCAGACATGGGAGTTCAATTTTAGACCAAAGAGGAGCCTAAAGGGAAGAGCAATAAGGGATTCCTGTTACAAACCCTGTCTAAACCTCCCCTTGAACCAATCCTAACTAACCAAGCAGAATGAGGTACAATTAAGGAGTAGTGTCCTGATGGTAGCCGCTATGCATTACAAGAAATCCAATACATTAGTCAAACTAAACCTACTACTCCTAATAAACTTACATTTAAAGATTAGCAGGGAAGTCTCTTTATTCATGTTCAGCGAATTAGTAGGCCTCGTCAGGACCACTTTGAAACTGAGACTCAGCAGGTAACATAAAGTAATGCTTCTTGGGCAAACCGTGTGTTATTGTGTACATCCTGATTTCTGGTGTCTTTTTGGCAAGCTGTCTTTGCCTTTGAACCATTTACAACTCGTCGTTGAGGTACTAACGTTCGCGACAGTGTAATGTTTGAGTAATGTAGTGTTTTGACATTTAATCGATTCAGTATTAATCATATTCCACAATCTGTCGGACTTTTTTCCTTCTGGGTGCTTAAACCGTGCCATACTATTGGCACACGACGGAATGCAGGAAAATAAATAAAGATTGTTAATGGAATAAATATCTTTTAAAGATGTCACCTCGGATCATTTTTATGGCCGCCTTGGTCCATGTTCCATCTGCTTTCACAGCACCTGATCGCACTTCTCCAAAGTTCCCCCTGCCGAGCACGCGCTCATCAACAACAAGGTTGTTCCAAGGAATCCCCCATTTCTGAGCCCAAGCAGGTAAACCGAAGTCTTGATCCACCCCAGGTACTACATCTACAGGTGTTATTCTGTCCTCGTATGGTACGACAGTCTGTTTCAAAGATAATTGTTTGATCAAACCCAGTGTGACATCTATTTGGTTATTTGTTTGATAGGACGATAGGGTGGCTGGGTGGAAGAATAGATTGACCAATAGACTTATGAAAGTAATGCAACAAGAGGTGAACGGAAAAATTCGAAAAAAAGACCAAAAACCTCTAATTTAAATTTCATATGAAAATAAAATTCATTTATTCCTTTATTTATCAAGTGTACCCTAAACAGCGGAAGCCGGTTTTCGTTAGGGCGTTTAATGTAAACTAATTGCTATAAATTAAAAGGAATTGAAAACATACTTCGTATAAAATAAAAATTTAAATATCAACAAGCATAACGTAAAAACACAAAACGCATACAATATTCCTTGAAACACAAAACTGATCGTGAGAATTTTTTTATAGAAGTATTAAAATCAATTTCAGTAATTGAAAAGATCAGTCTTAATTAAAGGCAAGAAGCAAACGTGTAACTCCTATGTGGGTGTTCAAACTGTTCCATATTTGTGCCCCAGTGACTACAAAACTTTGAGAAGACTATTCTGTTTTAACAGATGGAATCTTTAAAGTGGCATTTGTATTCTGTCTAGTGACTTAGTGTTGTGCAAAGTAGGGGAGAAATCGGCATGTATTAAGGAAACATAGAATTCAAACATTTAAAGACAACAATTTCCTTTTTAAAAGGCTGCTCACTTTAAAAATGGAAGCCATTTTATTGAAGTAAACGTGTCAGCAGACGAGGTTGTAAATGGGAAATCCGTAGAGTTAGTCCGGCTGTTCTTTCAAGCACTTTATTGAGCGTATGAATCTGATTTTCATACCGGCCTCACAATTTAATACCGTGCAGCAGTTCGCTAGAGTCAAAAACTGCAACTGCTTTTTAGTATCTCCCCTTTACTGATGTTGGTGAATGTGGGTAGTTTGGCGGCTGCCCGAGGCTCCCTTGTATGCCCTCGGCTCAACCATGTTTAAATGTCTTCATTGTACAGCGCATTTAAACATATCTGTATGAAATTTGCGCTTTATAAATGAATAAATTATCATTATTAAGCAAGACTTGATCGAGAGTGTAAAGAATGTTTCTTAGAATACAGTTGCAAATTATGTACAACATACCTAATGTGGAAGAGATGGACTGATGAATATGTTCAACATGAGCAGACCAGGTCAAATAACCATCAATAATAACGCCCAAACACTTAAAACTGCTGACCCTCTCAATTAATTAAGGAGTCACCACTACAAACTTTTAAGTTGTTAAAAGCAATATTATGTTTTGATTCGATGCCTTGCATTCAGTAGCATTGATTGTCAACATATTTCTCTTTGCTCAAACGCTTTTATTAAGGCTGCTCTCGATGTCGTCTAGTATAGCGGCTGCAAGTTATTGTAGAGTCATCTTCGAACATGTACTGTTTACAATACTCAGAAATAATATGAGGGAGGTCCACACCATAGATAATGGATAACAGTTGTCTAAGGATTGACAGCTGTAGTACGCCAGTACTGATTGGAAGTGAACTGGATTGGTTTCATTCAATGTACACAGCTTGTTTGCGGTTGGTTAAGTGTGAAATGCGAACAAAACCAGTTTAAAACAGACTCGGACAAGTTCGTATTCTGTAGCTTTTCCAAAAGAATAACATTACATGGTTGGCAGAAGCAAATGACTTGTAAAGATCAATTAACATAGAACCTGTCATTTTTCCGTGATATACCAGTTCACTAATAAATTCTAATTTATGTGCACATGCGCATAAGTGTCAAGTGGAGGCTAAAAGCTTGAGTGGCCCATTGAAAATGTACAGGGGCACAAGTTTCAACGTCATTCTCTCTCCTTTTCTGCACTTTATTCACTTTTATCGTCAGAAAACTCTCCAAAATCATTATATCTGTTACTTCTTGTGTAAGAGGAATTTTTTGAGAACAAATTAAAAACTTGAAAAATTTTGTCATTGTGACTATACCGCCATTGTAACTAGCGTTGTGCATTGTGATAAATATAAACTCAAATTTTCAATCCGTTGACCTTAAACATTTTGCCCATATACTGGCAATGTTTCAAGACCTTTGATAGTCAAATTCCAGATCACTCGTGGGACCAATTTTTGTTTAAACTCAGTCAGCACAGAAGAAAAGGGACAATTCGAAAAGACTATCATTGAACCAACAATAGTTTTTAAAAACAATTGTAATCGCAAACAGAATCCCTTTTCCTCATAATTGTTTTCCTCTTAACCTTTTCAGGGTAAAACCTGATGTCTTTGTAGAGTGATTAATAATTAAATGACTACATGACGGGCGTGTATGTTTTTACCCATGATTTATGGTCACCACTCATTCTGTGAGTCACTGACATCAGTTCACATAATTAGGTGGTTGAAAGTAACATCAGGCCTTCAAGGGTCATGTTTTCAATTATGTTCTCTCTTTCTCTTCTCTCTCAGTTGCTCTTAATCTCTGTGAGCCCAGATAAATCTTTCTGGACACAGGTCTGAACAAATTTACTCTTACTCAAGTTTTGTCTGTGAAATTCTGTTGAAATCATTTTTCAAGTTTACTAAAATTCTGAAACAAAACAAAGTAAAAGCACTATTAAACTATATGATTAATTCTATGTTCAAATCACTTTCTTTTATTTTCCTGTCTTTTGAATGGTGGAAAACAATTTTTATATGAAATAAAAAATAATAATAGATAAATAAAGCACCGCCTCCTCTCCTTCTTTCCAAAACCCAGACGCTAAACTTTTTTGTACAGCTTAAAGGTTCTGAGACTTGCTAATTTCAAAGTTTCAATCTGGAGCACCTATGATCACGCGGATATTCAGTCCGTCGCAGTAGAGGTATCATTGGTGTAGTGAATCAAAACTACAAGCCAAATTCACAGACCTACCATTTCAACAGCCGGATCGATAGACTGAGCATGCTGTCGTCCCCGCTGTGCACATCGATTCCTCCTTAATCTGACGAGGTAAACCATCACAGGAACCACGACCACAACAAAGATCAACAACGTACAGTACAAGAGTACACTTTTGTTGCTGATGTCACCCACCTCTGTGCCTAGTGAAAGGGGGGGAGGAGATTGGAACATCATGATGACAGAAAGATTCCCACTTGTCAACCTGTGTGGCACTGTATCATACTAATCAGTATTTATTATTGTATGAAATTGGGGGTGATCCCTGGCTACAGGGTGTTTCAGGTTACATGGCTTCTGACTAGTGCCCCAAAACAAAGATAATTGACAAATGGAAAGAGCCACCATCGTATAGCTGGATAGCTCGGTACGGTATTCCAGACGCCGCAGGTTTAAATCCCGCTCCAGTCAATTTCTCTGTCCATCTTTATAATTGTAATTATGTAAACATCTAGTCAGTGTCCAGTTTGTGTCAAGATTTGTATTTTTAATTAGCAGACGAAAATCTACCATTCACGTTAGCTACATTCCAACTACACACTGCAATATTTTTCACGACCAAGGCCTTGCAAGGAGAACCACTCACAAGACATCTCAGAAACAACTAAAAAAAAATAGCGACGGGTAACTGTCCCTATATACTGATATTTAGAGAAATTACATAACTACGAAAACAATTTAATTGGGCCCCTTTAATTATCCAGTAGTGAACATGTTCCTAGAGTAGTGGGATTCGGACGAGGCTGCTTCTAAAATATCAATACGTCACCCTGCTAAATAGCCAAAGTTAACTTCTAACATTGTTTTCATTTACTGCAAAAATGATATCACCTTGACAGCTACCAGCGAGCCCATCACCAGCATAGCCAGCCTTGCATTTACAGGTAAAACTGCCTACTGTGTTCCTACACACAGCATTATCGTCACAGTTGTGAGTTGATGTGCCGTCACATTCATTGATATCTGGCAAAAATTTAATTCTAGTTAAAGATTATTTTGTGTTTGGTGCGTTTCTTGAAAATGAGAATTCTCTATCAAAGTTGCACAACATTGTAAAAAAAAATCTTTTGAAGTCTCTAACATACGAAACCACAAAAAACCCTCCCAAAATTTCTCGAACCTGTAACTGCCTTGGTGTTACATCATTTAACGATAATTTACTTGTTGCTTATAATTGAATACCCACAATACGATATCAGTAATTGTAGTAACTATAATAACACCTACCAAATTAAACTATTTAAAATAAGCATTTCAGAAATATTTTCTAAGTCTCGGATGCTATGTCTTTACTTTTTCGTTAAATGAATACATGCAGTCGGCGTTTGTTATACGACCCTTATGCTGTCGTATCCAGTCCAGAGGTAGTCTACAGGATGTTCAGGGCGCAGCTCCCCCCCAAAAAAAAATCTCCTAGCTCTCTCTACTCGAAACTTGACCAAAACAATACAATCAACCCTAACTCCCTAGCGTGCGTGTAACAATCAAAATCGGAGGATTTAAATAGCCATGTTAGGGTTCAGTAAAACTAAAGTTTGTCTTCCTTTCTCATATCCAGTCCCTCTTGTGGGAATCCTGACTCTGCTGCTTCTATGGCATACCAACGTGTTGCATTCCTGAATTTCAAAATTTCGTTTTATGTATTTAGTCACAGCTAAAATAATGTTACCTTGACAGCTACCGGTGAATCCACCCCCAGCATAGCCAGCCTTGCATTTACAGGTAAAACTGCCTACTGTGTTCTTACACACAGCATTATCATCACATGTGTGAGTTGAGGAGTCATCACATTCGTTGATATCTGAGCAAAATGTACATTAATCTTAATTTTAGTTTGTTTGGGTAGGCCTATGGGTTTTTGTGACCCCACCAGGCATTCAGTAAATGCCGTAACGCCTGTTTCAGTTAAAAGTCATTGCCCTGTTTTGGTACTTCAACACATTTGTTGGCGTCAGGCATCATGATGTTGAAAAAAAAATCAATAAAATAACCAAGAGCATCCAATACGCTAATCTTGAACAAGAATGTAAAACACATTGTAAATGTCCCTAAGACTCATTTGCATTGTAAAACTTGATATTACCTCGGCAATTACCCATCGTTCCGATCCCGACAAAGCCGTCGTTGCATTTACAACCGAAGCCATCTTCTGTGTTGATGTAGCTTGCATTTCCATCGCAGTTATGCCAATTATCAGTGTTCTGTTCACTCATATCTGAAGGTCACAAGAAAAAACATCACAAAACCTGCTACGTACTCATTAGCAATTGGTTTAACTGAGTTCTTCTAATTCCTCGACATTTAAGAAATCCCATTACTTATTCTGGATTAAATAAGGATGGTTGCAGTGCACCCGATCTGACTACCCACAGCTGCTTATAAATAAGGTGCACACCAAGTACGCCATGCTATGAGTAGGCTGGTATCAAAGGATCGTAGCATGGACTACCACACTTGTAAGCTAGACCAGGTTTAGCTCGTGCACCGCAGCAGTGGCTCTCTGTTGTGTGGCAAGTGGGGGCGCTTTTCATGCCATACTTGTGGCGAACGTAGTCCTGCTACGATTCTATGATGCCAACCTGCTTATAGCATGGCGTATTTAGTGTCTACTTACAAGTAGCGGTGAGTAGTCGGATCGGGTGTGCCGTTCTTCAGTCGCTGATACAGCACTCACCAATTGTGTAAATATCCAAACTCTCCGAAACGTCTTCCTTTCCATCGTAAAGGTGACATACATACTGGCCTTGTGATGAAGGAACTACCGGACTGATTGTCAAATCACAGTGTTTCTCATAGAACCAGAGTTTGCTAGAACCTTGCCTCTCAGCACGTCCAAAGTGACACTGACTTTTGACAGCTCCCTTGAAAAGCCATCGTATATACACCGAATAATTAAGGGTCTTCCCAAAGACCTCACACGTAAACGTTACGTCTGTGCCAATAACCGCTGTTTCGTTGGATCCTGGTAGAATTTGAATCGCTGCAGATTTTTCTTTGTCACCTTAAAGTCAACAATGAAAAAGATATAAACACTTAAGTAAATCTTAAGGAACTTTATAATTTCCAATCTATTGACAAAATAATATTTTCATGGCCGCTTGAAAAACGCTTTTGGCTTGTGTATAACGGAGTTCAAACTACCTTTTAAGCGTTGCGTAAAAATCTTTGTTAACAACTAAAACGAGACAATAAGTCGTTTCAACGAGATAAAATATTTTTCCCGATGGCAACAATACGCTTTCATTATTTACCAAGGAGTCTTAAGATAAAACATTTTTGAATGTTGGATGTATAATCATGATTGTTGGACCCTGGGTCCCAATAACAGTGAATATGTGTATCTATGGTAGTGATAAATATAGAATTCCCGCAACATGGCAAGTCGAAACCGCAAATGAAACCCAACTGTATTGTTTTGAAAATAAACAGTAATAATAAAACTATTGCTTGCAAGGAAGAAAAAAGAAAAAAATAACATCCAAGTGACAGATTTATGATTCAAAACTAAAGGCAGATTTGCAATCGAACCTCCATTCTGTTGTTCATATAATTATTCCCTAGATGTAAACATTACAAAAAATTGCAATTAGGAAAGCTTTGGTGTGGCAACTCAGGAAAAAAAACCACACCTGACTATATGGATTTCAGGTTTTTTCCTTAAGACAGTTTACGAGCTGTGTCAATATTTCTAGTCTTTGAGCTTGTATTTTAGACTCTTTCGTTATAGATTCTTTCAGAATTTTTTTTTTAAATTATACTATGGTAGGCTCAACTCGCCTTTAGCAGGTGTTCGTGAAACCACTGAGACAAGTTCTCGGGTGATTTCTGAGAATTTGACATGGGACGGCGCAGGAGGAGCAGCATATACCGCGTACACTTCATTATTAATTGATTGCTGCCAACTGTAATGCCATAACACATTTAGTATACTTAGAGTGTAGCTGCAGCAATATTTCTTCAACTTTTACATTTAAATGGTGAAATGCATTGACAAGTGCTCTTTTTTAAAACAGTTAAAATAATTCATGCTTTCCTGAGTGCTGTTTCTGTGAAGTCATCTGAAGAAGACCTAGCTCCGTGCATAGGCGTTTTTCTTCAAATTGTGTTCCCAGAATCTAATTTCTGAAAACATGTTTGAGAAAGCATTAAATGCTTGCTTACTGCCATGCACATAGCCAACAATGAATGAGCAATAATGCAGGACTTGTTTGTGTATAACCAATGTAACAATGAGGCTTCTTCCCAGGATGACATCACAGTTTTGATCATAAATAGGGAAAATAGACATCAGCATAAAAACCAAGAAGGCAGTAAAATACCCTTTGAACGAAAATCGAAAATATTAGGCACAAATGTGCATTTTAAGGTCTGTTTTAAAACAAATCGATTTCAGCTGCCTTTTAATGTGTCTTTGATAAATAACTTTAGCCCATGGTTCAGAATATCTAATAAACATTTGTCCACTTAGTAGCTGGGTAAATTGGAGTTGTTCGTGTGTGGCAGTGAGTTTTATTTATGATTAACTTGTTTAATCCCAGGGATAAGACATTGCAGGCTCTAAATGCGGATGAGAATTATGGGGTTTTCATCCTAATATTTTCTATATGCATACCCATGAATTTAAGATGGTTCGTTTCATGTCAGAAATAGCAACATTTATTCAGAGATGTTTCACCAGAAATTTCTTAAAGGAAAGGGGAAATGAGAAAAAGACCTCTGCCTGTACAGAGGTTGAATAATTTAAAGAATCGACATAGTCAACATTACATATTTATATGTTTCTCAACCTGAGACACTAACACAAATAACAATAAATTGATTTAGATTAAGGCCATGATTATGGGGCTGGGAGGCCTATGTGACATACAGCATTTATATTAAAAGAAGATTGAATCATACGATAAACGTGAAAAAAGAATCCCAAGTATCAGCAAAATTGCAACTTTGTACGAATTGGAACTCTGGGCTGAAATTGGTCGGGAAACGTGTAGGTATACTTTCAAGCTCAATGATAAGAAAATAAATCTTGATTGCATAATCCGATGCAAACCACCGTACAGAGCAAAACTTCTAAAGGAGATTTTTGATCCAGGTATTTGAATTAAGACCAAATGATATCAAGGGAATTGCGTAAGAACATGGACAAGCAGTTTCAACTTTCAAATTTAGTTTGGGTCAATCAGTTTCAGACCCAGAGGTTCACTTTCAACTTGTGATGATAGTTAAGAAGGCCAGATAAAACAAGCTCTTCTCCGATATTTCTGTTTGTCTCAACATTTTCCTGATGTACATAAAACCTATATCTTTTTGTGCACGTTGTAAGAGATTTAACTAATTTTTTTTTTCAAATTGCACTTTTACCGTAATGTGTATCTTTGCTTATAAAAGTTCAAACATTTTGTACATTTTCTCTGACACAAGAAAAAAATTCTTTTCCATGTGTGAAATGTCATTTTCCGTGACTTTATTTCCCTTTCCTGCAATTTTATTCCAAGTATTTTCATTGCATAAATTTTGCAGCCCAATACAAGGCTATACTCGAGAGCGTTTTATTTTCTTCTACTCACTAATTCATTGCACTTCGCTAAGCAGTGATTTCAGCCTTGAAATGAAACTAGAGACACGTATTGACGCGAAATCAGATAATTAATTATGCAAGCATCGGAAAGAATTCTGAATTCCAAATTCTAAATTCCTAAATTCATTCAATGGAATTTCCTGAAACTTTTAGGAAAACAAAAACTGTACTTTTTTTAATGACGGTTAAAAAAGCGAATTGAATGGATGCGTCCTTATATAAGATATGAGTAGGCTAAGCATTACTTTAGACGGTGCGCTCATTTAAGCGTGAAAACGAATAGACGCAATATTAAATAGAACGACTGAAATTAAAGAAATGGTCAGAAAAAAATCATGGTAATTTTAGCCACGATTCAAAAAGTGATTTTATTTTGCTTGCTGCCTGCACTCTTCGCATACATGTTAATCTTGAGTTATATTTGTTCGTAGACACCAGCTTTATGTACAACTACAACACTCAAATTGTGTCCCCGCTGTTTTGAACTATATGACGAAAATTTTCCCCAAAACCTATCATATTCATGTCACACTTAGAGTTGCAGTACAAATTGGAATGGCTTAAGGTGAATATGTATGAAGTCACGATGATGTTTTTGAAACAATACACCCTTATTAAAAGGTTGTGGTTGGCAGTCCTTCTGCATCTACACGATGTTGGGAAATGTCAAACTCAGCCTAAGGCCAATAAATTTTTAACTATGTGGTGAACGGGTACGCATGTATATGAGTATTTTTGTAATGATTTTAATGTTAAGAGCAATACCTTGACCTGAACACAACTCCAGCTGAACATCAACTTTGAGTTCCTGCTCCCCGTTTCTCGTAGCTAAGCATGTTAAGTTAATCCTACTGCTGTTAGTGGGCCATCTTGAAAACAAAAGACTGCTCGTGACGTCAACTAATCCGTAAAGTCGGTGGTTCAAGCCAATTGAGCCAAATTCCTCAGTAGTCTCTCCAGAGAGCCATGACATCTGCCAATCCTCTGTTAGACTTCCTCGGATTGTGCATCCGAATGGTCGCCCTATACCCAAGTGGATGCAGACTGGGTTTGAATGCATGTTCAGCAGACTTTCTGTAGGCAGGTCTAGCAGTTCGATAGTTGCGTTAGGAACTGTAGAGAAAATAATTCGTTCAAATCGTTATGAGGATAAGATCCTCAATGCGCCAGAAATTTAAATAATGTGTTCAGAACTATTACGTATCATGGACCAAGGGTACCAGGGACAGACCGCTGATATATTGGGTGGTTGGTGAATATACCATGGGCATTCTCAGGTATTTTAACTGCTACATATCTATCGCACAAATTCCCTCGAATGTTAATTCTCGATTTATAACTTTGATTTCAAACTACCCTGAAATCAAAATTTTTGAGTTGAGTTCGAAGATTTTCCGATAAATTAAAGTGTTCTTCTGACAAAATGGGGAGATGTATATGTTAAAATAATTAGAAAAAACTTATATAACAAATGAATTGACAGGGGAGGAAACGTCTACAGGCCTTCATTCGCATTTCTTTACATTAATAACTAACATAATCAAGCCTTGGACTGTGTTTGTCAATGTCGATAATGAACCGATAATAATAATGAAAATAATAAAAAAAGTGTCAAGAAAACAAGGAAATGTCTTGACGTCAATTACATAAGCACATGAAATGAAAAAAAATCACTATTTTCATTTAAGTGATCAGAATTTTTCAATACAATACAGATCGCTACATGTGACGAAGGTACTACAAAGGGGACAAATAACCATTCTTCAATTTTGAAATTAAGCCTATTTACAAACAAGATGCCGCTTTGAGGCACGTGCAGCGAAGCACATAAAATGTTGGCGTACTTCTTTGGTAAAATGAATGTTCATGAATGCACTTTAATGAATAACCTAAAGATAGCTTTGCGTCAGGGATATTATTTCTATATTAGGTTTTGCCTTTACACTGACCAGCTGTCCAAGAACCACTAAAAAGTAGATATGAATATAGATTTTCACGAGGCGACTTACTAAATGCTCGATTATTCGTTTTAATCACGCAACGCCTGAATACATTCTAACTTCATACTTTAACAGATGCTCCCTAGTGTCTCACAAATCGCTCTTATCGTTTGACAGTGTGTTCAATTGGGTTATTAACTGCTCACTAGTTCTGAAACTAAAAGTACACGTACATTGCGTTTATACTAAGCCGTCTGATATTTGTGGGAAGAAAACTACATTACTGCACGTTCTGAACTACCTTCACTGAAAACAACCTATCCGACGGTTTGCTTGATTATGATTTATTTTATGAAATGACATACTTATGGCGCGCGTGATAACTATTCCCAGTGCACAATTGCAAAATATAAAGGGAATAATTAATTTAAAGGAGTGACAACCAATAGCTTTGAAAGGTACTACTGCTGATTGTCGAAACCTTGATTGATGCTACGATTTATTATCTGTGAAATACCGTACCTATATTGCTCTTCCATTCACCAATCAGAGGGCGGGGATTTATGCGAGTGTTACATTCAAATGAACCACAGTTTTTCCTATCAATTTCAGCAAAGATCGTTCATTTTCATGCTCACAGGTTTAAATTCAGGTTTAAACTCTTTGTGATCAATAAAACATGTGGATCACAAAGCCTTGATTTCAGAGATCAAACAGATACTATGCAGGATGCATGAAGACAGTGACAAGTTTCAAAAAGATGTCTGTAAGAGTGAATGATACAGGGAGGGAGATGGGTTGGACGTCAGGCTAGAGTGGTTGGCCCTTTGTGGATTTCAACAGTACTGATTTTATTCGTCTTCCTTTCATTGAAATTTTACTCAATGTCCTGAAATGCAATGGAATACTAAAAACACTAACCGAAAGTGTGGTCTTTATAGTTATCTCTTACAAGTTGGGTATCTATACCGACCACGACGATTTTGTTCAATGTACTTATTCAGGACCACTAATTACAGCGCTATTACATTTCGTGGGGGAAGCATCTGAAAGCGATTTTCTTTGTCATGTACAATGTGTAGCTTACAATTATATCAGAATTGCTACTTCAGAATCGATATTCTGACTTCCTAATTAAGAAAACTCTAGTTGTGAACTTGCTAAAGAAGGAGAAGTGGAAGATAGACCAAATATTCAAACAAAGGCTTGATAAAAATTGAAAATTAAGCATACGGTGAAATCGAAACCTGGAACAAACAAATTCTTTATGAACCTTATGGAAACCTACCTATAACATGTAAATTCAGGTATGCATACTCTAGTTTGCCGTCTTCAAAAGTGTAGCATGTGTACAGTCCTTCAGACACCACCTCCACTGGGTTGATGGTTAGGTTGCAGCTCCGCCCATTATGCGAACTACTTGAAGAAGGTCTCATGGAGCCATAGGCACTGCAGTCACTGGCTACTTTTTCTTTGAAAGCCCATTTAAGTTGGATTTCCTGATTTCTGGCATTATCAGGCAAGAAACAAGGAATTGTAAAACTCGTACCTAGGTCAATTGAGACATTTGGTCCATAAGGAATGTAAGGCACTGTGCTTTGAGCAGAACCTGCATAATAAAAGAGAATATAACTTAAGTTGTGGCATAATTCCTTGGACAATATCAGTAAATGATCGTTATCAGTAGTTTTCGTCCTATAAACAGTGGCATTATATTATACTATTATTAGTATTATATTTTCCATCTGTACTTTTTTTTCTGAGCAGGAGGGGGCTTAGTCCCTTAGCGGGGAGTCCTTACCCCCTGCTCCACTGAGTTCCACTGGCTATCATGTAGAGCGAGATTGGCCATTTCAGTAATTTGACGAATGGATTATGGTGCAACTAACTTGATACAAACCACTGTACGATCTTGTGCAACGCTCACATGAATATTTGGCTAATGACCTTTCATGGAATAACACTGTTTACAGTAAAGTCTTGCTTCAAAATATTAATTGTTGTAGGCCAGTTTACGTGGTTCCAGTCCGAGATCGACCTGTTGAAGTTCGAATCCTGCAGACCAGAGTCCGGATTCACAGTCGCAACCTCAGACCTTTGATCTAATTGCCTCGAGCCCCAATTGAGTTTAATAGAACTATTTATGAAGAATTATTTTTCTTCCTTCTACGCATATAATTAGTATTCATTAATATTTTTTCGAATCAAATTCGTAAAGATAAAGTTAATACCATCGTTTCAAGTGGTTGTTCAACTTCGCGGTCGATTAGTGAGGCTCATTTATGTGCGTTGATCCACATGCGCGTATGTTTTTTCCTTAAAATAAATTGAAATTAAGGCAAAATGTGTAGGTTGCATTTTTCTTTTGTTCAAGGCAAAATGCAATTAATCTTCAAATTGTCTCTTGAATGGTCAAAAGTGGGTTGTTATGGTCTTATTAGACACTGCCTTCGGATGCTTCGCCTTTGATCGACACGTATGTTTCAACGGGACGTCTAGTTTGTGCGCATGCGCGCGAAGTGTTTCGTACCCGTGCGAACCGAAGATGACTGCTCAGCGATCACGGATTTGAGTTTTGATTGACGTTTTTCGTTTTTTCCCCTTAGGAACTGATATGAATTTCAGACTTTCCAAATTAATTTGTGAAAGTAGCCAGCTATGACTTCAAAATAACCAATAGTTTTTGCCTTATTTTGGATTTGATCAGCAATGTGTGCTGAGAATGTAGTTGATACAAATGCAAAAATCACTAGTTTTCGATATTTCTCCATTTTTCCCAGGCCTTCCACAAAGGCCTTCCTTTCTCAATTGATCTTTATTAAAACATTTTATCTCATGTGTAATTTCATGTTATTAAGTTAAACGTAACACTGACTGTTTTTAATTACTATTCTTTTTTTAATCGTCTCAATGAAAAATGTATCCTATAATTTACATATAAAATGTACTAATCTGCTAAATATCAACACTGGAAGAGTTGACACCACATTATGGTAGTGTGTTTCGCAAAAATGCTGTGAAAGAGAAAACAAATACAGCATGATTTCAGTGAAAAAATGTACCTCTGAATTTTATACATGTAGTCTCATGAATGTAAATATCACAAAGCCATTAAAGAAAACGAAACCCATTAAAGATGAAATAGAAAACACGTTAGAGTTTAAGAGCTCACTTGGTGATATTCAGAAACCATTCTCAAGGATTATATCAACCAATATGTCCACCTACAGTAATTCCATCTAATCTGCAGTAATTACATCGATTGCCCTGGGGAGACCCATATCAATGACAAGTTCCACTGGGCGGGTGTAACAGGCAAACAGAAAAAATGTCACTATATTGACCCCCAGTTAGTAGAATAACAGACATGGCATCTCCCTACGTTCGTATAACATTATTTTTGCTGCTAGTGCACTATAAAAAATAAATCTTGATTAATTTAAAATAACCAGTTAAATTCTGTCATGATTGGCCAGATTTTCGAAGTGCACAATAACCCTCTTAATGTGCCCTCAAAACAAGAAAATCAAGCTTGATTTGAGTACTGTTGGTGTAGGTATAATAATGACTTATTGTTATCAGTTAAAGAAATGTCGACGTTGATGTGGTATACTCTAAGATTTATTCTAGTGTACCACCTTTCGGAACACCAAACTGAATTTGAGCCAATTTTCGAATGCGACCTTTTTTTTCTTATTTTGGACCAATTTCACGACCTTGAAAGCATTGTGAAATTAATAGTATTTATCTGAATGATTTTGAAGTTTTTGACACAGATGTGGCAACATTATTGGGTAAAGTCGATTTGGGCCACGCAATAGAACACCTGTACACCAAGGAACAGTAACGCGTCTTTCTTACACCGGAAATCTCACCGTCGATTGTCGGTGTTTAGACTCCAAACATTGCGGCCAGATGGATGCTCGCTATATAAAATAATGTGCTGGTATTCCCCCTTGACAGGGTAAAATCGCAGACCCATGGCCGGCCCAAGGCTTCGTCCGGGTAATCCCTGGAAATCGGTCAGGCACCCTCTACCAGCACGACGTAGCTAGTGTCTTAGAAGTACCGAGTGGTCGCGTGTTTCGCGTAAACAATACTTGTTTGGTTGTCTAGAAAATTACGTTTTTTTGAAACGTCAGACTTCTTGTCAGCTGCAAAATACCTGTAACGATGCCAGAACGTATTGGTCCTTTAAGCAGTATGGCAATTTATTTGGGAAAACTGGAGAAATATTTCCAAAAGGGTCTCAAATGTTGCGTTGTTCAACAAAATTTGCACGAGATTTCGATGAGTTTTTTTTTTCGTGAAAACTCGCTTTTCTTTTAATTTTGTTCACTTCAAATATTTTCTTTTCAGACAGAAGAGATCTGTCATTATTGTTTCACACTTGCCGAATTTTACACCTTCCGGTGGCTTTATTATTAAGTGCCAAACAATTATTATAGGACCCCCAACACAAGAAAATATCGCTTTCGTCGTCTGCTAGTATAATTCAGTGCTACCGGCACACTGAAGGCTGTTGCACATGCTCGACCGCAGAAACTAAATGTCCACATGGCCCATGGCAGGGAAACATTTTTGTCGAGGGTGTAATCTCCATATCCAAACCGCTTACACGAGCTCCCATGTTGGTCTGCATATAGTGCTAGATTCTAGTACATTGTAATCAGTTAGCATGGTAACCAGAGCAATGGCACGATCTTACGAGTTTTTGTTAGTATCTGTCTTCAACTGGGGCAAACAAATCGAACTTCTGTGCTTGCATTTTACAGATAGGTCTATCTGCTTGTCAGCTAATTTGAAAAAGCAGAAGCTAATGCATAAGGAGCTGAAACGTCTGGCGAGTTTAAATGTCCTATTTCGCACTGCCTGTTTATTGGCTCTTCTATCTGCACGACTGAATAGTGAAACGCTTTTTATCAGCACTGGAAAGTCATGTAGTCATAAATAGAACATGAACGTGCATTGAATTTCGTAGTACTGTTTTGTCATTACTTCCAACCTTTTAGAAGGATGGAAAAACAGGGAACTGAATACGTTCTAGTGATTTAGTTCCAGCATTTTATACAACATATTACGAGTCGTATCCGGTCACTTTTTGTCAATACTTTAAATTGCAACCACTTCGCAGAACATTAAAAACACTACTATCGTCAGTATTAGTAACACCAATAACACCGAACATCCTGTTTCCTAATTTAAATTTTGCCAAACCTTTTCTATTGTAGAAAAGCATCAAAGCTTCCTTAGGCCTATACCATCTTTTTATTAAAAAGTTATTATGAAGAATGTCCAAATATATTTACCTTCAAATGACACCAGACTTAGACAAGTCAAAATCACTGCAAACGAAGAGCCCATTCTGCTATGAATGGCCTTTTGTCTTTATATTCAGGAAAGCCGTGAAGCACTGCCGTGGAAATAAACACAGATTTCACCTGTGCTGCTCTTCACCTATCTGACCTACCTACGGCGAAACCAATATTCCACAGCTTCCTTGTTCTTGAATCAGTTTTGTTATTAACTGTCACCTCATTTGTTTTTGTTGCCTTTAGGTGTCACACAAAATATAAACGTTTGAACCAGCCGTGTAATGCGCCGCTTGGTTAATTCATGTGAATACAGATCGGGGACCTAAGCCCAACTAGCGACGTAGCCAGATTGAAAAAAATGTCCTTGAACAAGCGACAATGAAATATTTCTCTCGTATTTTTGACCATGGTTCTCGGATGACATTGATCTCTTCATATAATTCTTCAACAAAAATGGAAATGATTTCCGAAAAATAGGAGTGTTTCTTAACTTACACTGTAAAAACCGAGCGTTTAACTTCCCCTCAAATTAACTGCAAATCTGTAACACTTTGACATGTTTGTTAAATGCAGTGTATATCAACAGGGGTGCAGTGTTTATTAACTGCACAGTATGGGTGACAATGACGTAGCGTACGCGTGATCAAGTCAAATCATACGCAGTGCTGTGGAGACTGGCAATATGCCAACTTCTACATCTTAACGACATCTCATATGCATGAACCTGTGCAAGAAACTAATAAATGCAACTTCGAACTGTCCAATTTCTCTTAATTTTCAACTAACAACACCCAGCAGACGTGCTGGAGGGATGCGGAAAGAGATCGAAGTGTGTATACCCGTACATACGTGCACATACAACGCATATGATTCTCTTAAACGCTGAGCGGTACAACTGAACATAATGAACACGGTGTTTATTGTTGGTGTGATAAGTGATAACTTCCAATCTACAACCATATAGGCCTATTATATATTATATCAGCTCAATTTAACCACTGACACCATGAGATTTGAATTTCATCGTTACTTCAGAGTTTTGGCAGAAAATAATGAATTCGCGTTTTAAGCCACTCTAAGCAGGCGTTTAATGTGCCGATGATAAACACTTTTCATGTTAATTAAACACGTTCACCCACACGCACCCTTACATTGCAAGAGCGATTTAGGGAGGCAATTCTACCGCAAGCGGGCTGTGAGAGTCTTTGACTTGTTGACTTCTGCACTATTTTAACTTGTGGTGGCGTCTCGTCTATAGAGCGACACTTGTGAGAAAAGTTTGTCCAGACCAAGTAAAGTGCAGAGTTGAAACTTGTTCCAGAAGAGACTGTTTGCGAATTGAATCCAGTTCCAGTTTGTGGGATCAAGTTCCCATATTTTCGACAGTCATGAAGGCCTCGCCGTTTCGTCTCGATCCCGGTCATTCTTATTGGACGTGGTCTTTGTCCCTGTTGCAGCTCATTTTTGCACCGTCAAGGACTGAACTGTTTTTCGCCATCTATGGAACCCAGCGTACTTCACTGTAGTGCCTTGCGAAGTTGTCGCCCCTAAAAACACCTTGTTTACGTGAAACATTCCTTATCATTGTAAACCAGTTTCAATCTACATTTTCTTTGTTACTATTTGCTAAGTGTAACATTCTCATTAAACCATACTTATTTATTTGTTCCTTATGCGATCTTTTTTGATTTCTTTATTGCATTGGAAAAAAGTCAAGCTAATTTAAAAGGTTGGAGATTTCGGTTCGTAACACCATGAAAAGGTTTAGAAATAAGTTCATCGGCATGTAAGTCCTCTATCACAAGACCCTCGTATAGATACTCGTAGCTATCACAGCAGAGTTTAGCAAAAAGCGTGTCTCTCCCCTCATATAGTGAGAGGAGTTGAACCATTGTTGGGTCGTCTACCTGATGGGCAGATTCGGAGTTCTCCTTGATGTAGCCTCAGGGAGTCATGCCATAGATGCTTGTATCATGCTCGCAGATTGTGTGATGACCGTGCACACACAAGTGTCCAACCGCAAGGACTGTTGAATCTGGATTTTGTAGGCAGAGGCGGTGTTGGCTTTCGGGTACATATCAGTGTTCTATACTCATTCTCGTCGACCACATGGGTTACCATAAAAACATGACAGCAATCTGTCAAGATCTGAGGAAAGCCCCTGCTTGGGGAAATGGAGGCAATCATTCAGCAAGTGGTTAGATCACTTCGTCCATGTTACTTCGAGATTGGGCATGTCCTTCTGGAGCGCGCAATGGGCATCCAAGTTGACGCAGTTTGGTGCGTAGTTGTGAGATGAAAGACGAAGAGAAGGACAGAAAACTCAAGTCGTGGCTTGTGATATCATGGCTTCAATGAGCGACTAAGTAGAAAGAAGTTATGGCGCAGTTCTACTGCGCCCTCTCGTGTCCATGTGTTGTTGTCCGACTACAGGGAAAAGCTCCTTATCTTCGATGACTAGTTGCAAAATAAGCCATGAAGATCATGCAACTTGTCATATGACCGTTTGTTTTGGCAAACGTGGATATCAGAGAAGTCAAGGAAGTGGGCGCAGGTTGACTGAAAACTACAGTGGAACCGTATGGCTAATTTCCACATGGTTTACCGAAAGTGGAATTCTTGAAACTGAAAATATGAAGCATAGAATGTACCTGTGCCCTAAAAGGAAGATGACCATCTGACAGCTCATCGAAATAAGCCAAAAATATCATTCCTAACAAATATCATATGGTATATGAATAACAAAATAATCTGCTGTTCAGAAATATGTGATTGTCATAATTGCGTACTCACTGTTAATGTTTTCCAAAGATCATGTTTTATTTTCATCACAGCTGTTGATTCAATCAGTAGGTTTAAATTGAGCCCCGATTATCGGACTGAAGTTAGCGCACAATTTCGACAGGCAACCAGCTCCACATGTATTTCCAGGGGGCGCTGACGGAAATGAACGCTGGCTTGTGTATTTTTGTACTTATTTCCAGATTTCAAATGGACACCATGGAGACATGGACATCCATTGGGGGTATATGCCCCCATAGTTATCTGATTTACCTGGGGTTTGAACTGTACCTTCCTGTGTATCCTCGGAGTTTACACCCACAACGAGCGACTAATACAACTGCGACACAATGACATCACATAGTCACGTGACCACTAATTTAGTCATTGCAATGGACTAATTTGATTAGTTTTTTATGAGTCACATAGTTGGAAGATTAGTCATCACGCTGGTGCAATGAGTAACAATAATTACTCTTCAAAAATTAAATGGACTAATCTCTTGGATTATTGGTAATGCACGAAATTTAATTAGTAATCCCCCAAAATCAATTAATAATTCAGTAAAATTAATTGGTCTTTACATTTATTTATTCCTTTGTTCATCCAGTGTTGGCAGAACGGCCACAACTGGTTTTCATTAGGGCCCTGTAATAAAATATAAGCTAAGTAAAAATAGAATTGTAAAACCTAAAAACTTTTTTCTGTAAAAATTAAGAAAACAAGTTAAGAAAATACCTAAGGTATGAGCAAAATGGCTACGAAACATAAAGTGAAAAGTATTGGTTAAAACAAACATCAACCCAGCAAACTGACATTTGTACATGTGAGTAGGGCCTAAAAGAATTCAAATTAACACAGGTAACTGAAACGTTCGATCTTAAAACAGGAAAGAAGCGTACAAGCTAGACGAGTAAAGTTTTCCAGAGGTTTGCCCCGGTGACTGTAACACTTTGACTTGATGCTGTGCAAAATATGAGAACAAATGGTCATACATTAAGGAGTACGGAATTCAGACATTCCAAAACACAGCTTTCTTTGAAAATAGAAGCCATTTTAGTCTTGCCAAAAATTAGTCTTGCCGCTCTCACAATTTGTTGAACGTATTATTATAGTGTTCATAACTGCCTCCCCATACCGTACAGCAGTAATCCAAGGTAGGCAGTAGTGCTGAACAAGAGTGTACAGACTATATACTTCTAGAAATACAGTGGCGAATTCTGTACTGCATTCCTAGTTAAGAAGAAACTGATTGATGGACATGCTCAACATGAGCAGATCAAGTCAAGGAGCCGTCAATAAAAACGCCAAGACACTTAAAGCTGCTGACTTTCTCAATTAAGGAGTCACTAGTACAGACTTTGAAGTCGTTCGAAGCGATCTTGCGTTTTGATACAATGAGCAGAGCCTTAGTTTTGGTAACACTGATTGTCAACTTATTTCTCACTACCCAGTCGTTTAAACTGGCTTCGTTAAGGCTGCTTTCGGTTTCTTCAAGCGTAGAAGAGCTACAAGTTATCGCACAGTCCCCTGCACATATATACAGTTTACAATCCTCGGGTATTACATTAGTATTGCGACACTAGTAATAACCGCACTACCAATAAATAGTCTTCCATACATTCTCAGCAATTCTATATATTCCAACAATTCACAACGTCAATTAACAATTACAAGAAATTAATATCTGCAAAGTCAGCGTACACTGCCCAATAAAGGGGCTGTATTTATAATTAAACACTGCATAACTAACCAAACCTACCACAACTACTCCAAGTCAAACGTCCACGCAAGCGTTCGTTTAGCATCACGTGATCTTCGTACGTGCCCTGGTGTCAGCCAACACTACCCCGGCAGCCGAGCTGGTCTCCGGGGTCACGGACATCGACAGACTGTATTTTTGAGTAAACATGGCGGTGGACTTTTGCCATAATACCTTGGGCAATAAAGCGAAGCGTTCGATGAGCTTCGTTTCGAGGCTTCCCTTGCAGGTAACCCCAGTGTTATTTATCTTGACACCGGGTGTAATGTACAGTAAACTATATTCAATCAAGACAAAATAATGCGGAGGTTGAAAAAGGTAAACGGTTAAATTGTATCTTTACACCAACTTCAATCAGACCAATTTGTGCTCACTCAGCAGGCTGCCTATCGGTACTGTACTAGTGGGTATAGGTAAATACATGCATACTGCACATTCGGCACAGTACCGCATCAGCGCTAAAATGTTTCGCAGACGTTGTTGGCTATTGTACAAACTGCACCCACGGTCCCACCGGGAACGGTGTATCTGTAGTAGCTTCTCATTTTGCAGCCGTACAAATTATTATTTGTTTTTCGTTTCATGTTGTAATCAGAACAAAAGTCATCCATAGATCGTACTTGTGTCATTCGGCGGGGCACATTTCTTTGTTAATTTCGGACATCAGACGGCGGGAGTCGAATCATTTAGCTTAAAAGAACTTCGGACTTATCACATGCAATTGGTGTTCTAGCAATAAATTTGTCATCCAATTTGTCACTTGCATTTTAATTTGTCTTTCGAAACTTTTTTCACAAACTTGATTAGTAAATCTGATCAGTACTAAAAAAGTCTCACAGCAACATCTGTCTTAAAATCTCAACGAGTCATCACAGCAAATAGATTAGCATTTCAAAAAATATGTTTTTGTGTTGTTTTAGTGTACAAATACACCGGCACCAGTTATTATTGACACTATAATAATGAGCGTTGTTGCATTTGGTCCATCAGAAGATGATGTAGGTGTGTTGTAACCACTGCCGATCAATTCCTCTGAAAATCAAATCAAATGAAGTAATCAAAACAAAATACACTTGATAATAATTGTTGTTTTGTAGCCTGAAAGGTATTTCGCAATGCTGCGTCATTTCGTTTAGTCGTGAACATATTTCCTACGGGGAGAAGAGCAAAGTAATTGCAATAACCGAAATTGTAATTGCTGACTCACGAGTGACTAATAAAAACGCGATGCAAAAGAGAAATGTTTTAATAATTGTTATGTGACGTCTTTGATCACGCACCTTCAACAGATAAATCATCACAAGTAAGTTGAACGTGTATCTGTACGTGATTTATGAAATTATAATTTTTCACGTTTAGCCCTGAGTAGGGCCTAGTCTATATCAGCCTTTTGGATTGCAGTGCAAAATAATTATTTCCAAACCCTGCGTAGAGACGACAGGGTCTAATTTATATCATCATAATTCACTGCTACGGAAAGAAGAAGAAATTCACGTTCAGTTCTCAAGACGTTCATGCGCGTTTGACGTGGAGCACGCTAAGTGCGCGTAACAGATTTATTCTGGAATGTGTGGGTCTTCACATGCACGCCAAACGCGTGCAAAAACCGGTTGGAAAATTTAGTTCCAGTCTGAGGGTGCACTTCAACTCAAGACAGATTGATCAGAGCTCTAGAGATTATAAGTGCATTACGCACGAACACCTAATAGGACCTCGCGAACGCGCACGTGTGATCTCAAAAGCGCATGCGCATTACTTGCAGCGTAGTAGAACATCACGTTGCCCTGTTCTTGGACAAACTTCGCGTCGTGTACAAGAATGGGCCTGAAACTGCTATGGCTTTACTGTGAGCGTTTTTGAAACGAGTGAAATTTTGGCTTAGACTTTGGTTTCGCTGGTTCCTGCCATTTCGAAGCAGAGTTAGAAACCACATGTTCAAGCTCTGACTGGAACCAGCGAACCGAAGTCTAAGCCGAATCCACTCATTTTGAAAACACTTTTATGATCTCAGAAATGAAGTGATTTTTTTTTCTCATTCATGGCATATACTGGCAGTATAGACTGGTGAGGTAACACATAAATAGGTTTATTAAAAGAATACTCACTCTGCATGATGATATCAACAAAGGACTTGGTTAGCATTTCGTCGTAGCTGAAGACGTGACACCAGTATCTTGCATTACCATCTTGACGACAATTTCTCAGACGGAGAGATCTATCTTGAGATATGTTGTAGCAACTGTTATTCCTCGACACCACAGTCGAACCGTTTGGAAGATTAACGATGCCAATGACCTCGGTTTCCTTATCTTCAGGTGCACCATGAGACCATATTAAGGTGGCTTTTGCCCTGTTATTGTCATTTGTTAGTGCAAGGCAGGGAATTTCTACGTCCTGTTCATACGTTGCAGTGTCATGTATGGCATTGATTCCATCATAAAGGGGAAACATTTCTCCTGGTTAAAAAGAAAGAATAAAATTAATGATGAAACGTATATTTGTGCGCGTATTCAAATCTGGGTGAAGCATGAAAACAACTGCAACAGAAGGAAAAACATACCTATAACAGAAACCTTGATACTGTCATGTTTAGTTCCGGGTCCCAGGGAGCATCTGTAAGTTCCTGTGTGGTCATCATTTACCGATTCTATTGATAAAGCAAAGTCGTTCACAAGATCGAAGCCACCGTCGAACTCGACGTGATTATTCCACAGAGTGTATGAGAGGAGATGACTGCCTGACGTACCATCATCTTTCATCCACGATACTTCACAGGTTTTTTGGGAAGATGTCCAGCTTGTACACGGAAGTACTTGCCTTGTGTTCTTTAGAAGGTAGAATGATGATCGGGATGCCTGTAGAGCAAAGCCGATCTCGCTTTCGTCTAGAACAGTGGACACGATTGACGCATTAAAACAGACAAAGCAACAACATTTACAGAATGGTTTGAGATTACGAGTGGAAAGTAGCGTAGTTTACACCATTTCCTTGTGTATTCTTTGTGTCGCGTTTCATGATGAACATATCAGTAAACAATATTCTACTTTTGTTTCAGTTTTTACATTTCACCATAGTTGTGGGTTCTTGGGCTTTCATGTCTAGCATTTCATGCAATAAGGCAACCTAGACCTTTATTTCTAGAACCAGAAAGGGTAACTCCGTGGGCCTTCAACCCTAATGCAGTCCATTCAGATTGGACCAACGTTGATCAGGATGCATTTATTTCATTCAAAATTCCAGTTTCCCGATAATCTTCTCTACAGGAGCCGTGAGAGCTGATCCAATTCTCTCTCAAACTTTTGACCTAGGGTTTCAACACCATGTGACTGACTATTTTGTGAAAACGCCGGAGCCTTTCACTCGCCAACCCCTTATTTTCCTCACGATGACGACCCAGACACATTTCGTATAAAACACTACGCGCGCATCGGCTTGATGTCCGACCGTTGATATCGGCTCGACCATTTTTTGGAGGCAGGGGGACGGAATCTCGTCTTCATTACGCGACCGACTTGACGTCTTCGGACTGACATGACAGTAGCCTTCAGCTAAGGCATGCGCAGCAATCTGAATAGTCAGCTGGTAGCATGAAAACGGACCAGTGGGAGTGGCGAAGCCCAAGTATGTTCAAGTCACATGACGACAACCGTTAATGGCGCGCATGTTCATCTCCTTTTCAAGTTTTTGTTCATCACCTCCACTACTCACTGAGTAGTACGGTACCCTGAAGTCAAAGTTGTCGGCTCAGCACGACACTTTGTGTACACTAGCATATAAATGGCACGCGTAAAGATGTAAACACACAGACAGGACTGCGCTTGATCCAACTTGCCATTGCGAAGGTATTATTTCGGTCTTTATTAAGAGTACAGTGCAAGGGTATCCTCAAGTTTATCAGAAAATCGACAAAGCATTAACTCCCAACTGTAAGAAGTAAGTTTTATTTGGACATGAAATAATTATAAATTACATCTGTGACGGATGGAAATGTAATCAATTGTAAGCAATTGTTTTCCAAACTTCAAGAATAAATCCGAACGCATCTGCTCCAAAGTTTGGAGATTCAGTCTACTGATGGCACGAAGGTATACGTATCATAATCACTACCAAGAATTATTCTACAAGCACGCTTTTGAACTTGCTCAATTTATTAACCCACTTTGATCCTTAGACAGTCTTCCCCTTTTCAATCATCTAATTATAGAACCAGTCAAACTTTTTTTCCAATAGAAATTGATCAAGCTTGGCAACAATTAGTTTTTTCAAGTGAAAAATAAAATCATTTGGGGGCTAGTTAAACCAGATTTTCATTACATTTTCTGACACAGGCCAAAGGAAGTTTCTATTGAATTCTTTCACAGTGTTCTGGGTTGGGCGTAATGCAATTTCAGTTGTCTGAAAACCATTCAATAAAGTTACCATTTGCTCGGTTTTGGGGCACCTCAAAAGTCCTCAAAATAGAATCCAAACTTCCCGCTGGCAGAATTTTTTTTCAAAAAACATAAGAAAATTTGTGAGCACTACATAAATTTTGGCTAATAGGAATCGGAAGTTTATAGTTGTCCACTTTTACTTCGTTTGATCGTTCCTGAACATCTACCGATCGGTATGGAACGCCAAAGAGCAAAAACTTGGAGGCAACACATCGATCGTTTTATTACATCGATCTATCGTTCTTCAACATGGATCAATCATCCACTACATCGGTCGATCGGTTCCCTACGTCGATCTAGCGTTCTTTAACATCGATGGGTCGTTCTCTTTTGAAAGTGTCATGAAAAAAGAGCAGTGAAGAAAGAGCGACGGAGAAAGAGCGACAAAGGAAGATCCATTGAGAGGGAGCGATGGCGAAGGTCGATGAAATTACATCGATGCGAACGGTGCACAATTTCATGTATGTGCGCATGCGTATACGCACGTACTGTTCCACCTTTGCATGTTACGTTGGTTGGAGTGGAGTTGGCATGCATGAATTTTGTTTGTGTTTTCCAGATTGTTTTCTTAACAAAAAGCGTTTTTGTGGCTAATAAAATAGCAAGGGAAACCGGTTTGTGCAAGCAAAATAAGAATATTTGGTTGTTTTTCAATTTTTAAAGAGTATGCAGGATCATTCCAAGGTTCCTTATTACTCAGAAAGTTCAATTAGAGTTTCTACTTATACTCAAATTATGCATAAACGTATTGGTACTACCACCAGTGTATTAAAACTGACATCAACCAACTTTTCTCTCCATCCTGATCGCACTAATGCATTACAAAACATGCAAACATATCGGCAAGTAGAGATTATTCTTTGACCTTTGCTTGCACAAACCGGTCTCCTTTGCTGTTTTCTTAGCCACAAAAACGCTTCTTGTGGCGGCCAAACTCCACTCCAACCAACTGAACCCTCAGAGGCGAAACAATGCGTGTGTATGCGCATACGCACACACATAATATCGTGCACCGTTCGCATCGACGTAATTTCATCGTCTTTTGCCTTTGCTCCTTCTCCATCTATCTTCCTTCATCACTCTCTCTCCCCCATCGCTCCTTGTCATCGCTCTTTTAACATCGCTCTTTCTCCGTCGCTCTTTTTCCAACAATTTTCTTCCATCGCTCCTTTTCCATTTCTCTTTTTTCATCAATCAAAAGAGAACGATCGATTCATGTTAAAGAATGATCGCCCTATGTAGTGAATCGATCTATCGATGTTGGTGAACGAGTGATCGATGTAACAGAACCATCGATGTGTTGGCGTTCCATAGATCAGTCCCCTACATCAATTGATCGTTCTTCTACATCGATCAATCGGTTTTCCATATCGATAAATGATCTCTTTTGATCGAAGAAGAAATAGCGATAAAAAAGTGCAATGAAAAAAGAGTAATGCAGAAAGAGCGATGTCGAAAGAGCGATGTCGAAAGAGCGATGAAGGAAGAGCGGGGGAGAGGGAGTGATGACAAAGATCGATGATATTACATCTGTGCTAACGGAGCACAATTCCATGTGTGCACGCATGCGTATCGGCTATGTACACAGTGTTAGTAGGGAAACGACGTAATCATACATGTTGCCTCTTCATGAAGTGGAGCGGAATTTTCCCGCAACAATGATATTTTTTTCCAAACTGTTTTTTTAACAAGAAGCATATTTATGGCTTAGAAAATAGCAAGGGAAATAGGTCTTTGCAAGCAAAGTTTAAAGAATAATCGGTTGATATTAACCTACTATCCCCGCAGGTGAGTTGTGTGTTGACAGGTGTTACACATACACATTTGTGGCCCTGCAAGAGGCCGGAATTGACTTCCTATTTACGTATTATACTTAAGTCTAAGAAAACTTCACATGTACTTTCTTGGAAACTCAAGTATGCACATAATTTCTCAGCCACAAAAATACCTCTTGTTAAGAAAAAAATCTGGAAAACAAAAAAATCATCGCGGCAGCCAAACTCCATTCCACCCAACTTAACAGGCGACATGTATGATTACCTCCATTCCCTATATCACTGTGTACACGCATGCATACGCACATGGGACTTTGCAACGATGTAATTTCATCGACCTTTGTAACAGCTTTCTCTCCACCGCTGTTCCCTCATCGCTCTTTTGCCATTGCTCTTTCGCCGTTGCTCTTCTTTCATCGCACTTCTTTCATCGCTCTTTTTTCGTCAATCAAAACAGATATATCGATCGATGCAGAAGAACGATCAATCATTGTTAATTAACGATCGATTAATAGAACGATTGGTGCGTTGCCTCCGAGCTTTTGCCTCTCTGGCCTTAAATATGTATGTGCAGCTAGAGAAATAGCACACCGGATACAAGCGCCTTTCCAGATATACGTTTTCTACGTGCGTTGCGTACACAACCTGTTCATGGTTTCACTTTACGGACACATAAATCGACTCCGTAGACATAGAACACGGGTGCGTTGCGTTCGGTGCGTCACGTAAAATTCGCCCCAGGAGCGATTTGATGAATATGCAACGCTTGGCGTATAAATGCTGACGTGCATTTAATTATGGAGGGCGCTTTAACTCAGCACGTTGACGCAACTTGCTTAGTTCTCTGGCAAGTTCTTCCAGATATCGGAGCACGCCGGTGAAAACGTATTGAAGAATCAAAACGGGATAACTGATAACTCGGATGTCGGTGTGACGTCATAATGGTCGAAGCGGATGCAAGAATTTCTGCATTTTCATTGGTCAATATATACAATGCGTTATGCATAAGAATTTCTATAACCAAACCGGTAGAGGAGTGTAGAGAAAACCATGCATTAAGTTTTCTTCACTAGATAATAAAGGCGCTCGTGGCTTCGCCTGTCGCCCTGGTCTTTTTCGTGATACCATTGTAAGTGTCTGAGGATACCCATTAAATTTTCATGGGGAAATGCTTCTTGAAAAATCCTCCATAGCCAAGATTGTAGCCTTTATTCAAAGTGGGTCTTCCCAGCTTGTCCAAATATTGCATCCAGGCTGCCACGCGCTCCTTGACTGCAATGTCTTACATGCGCGCATTACATTGCTACGCTGCAAATCATAAAAGGAAGTGGTATTCCTGCAAGTTACCCCATTCAATTCCGACTGATAACCATTTATTCGATCCTGTACCCTGGTCAACACAGATGACCTGATGTAACTGGGCTGAACTGAAAAACACTTAGCGTTACAACCTCATAAAATGTGGTAGGGCCGGAAAGCACAAGGGTTCGTGTTTAGTTGTCATTGACAACTGTTTGTCATTGACAACAAATTGTTTAGTTGTCATTGACAACTGTTTGTCATTGATAACAAATTGTTTAGTTGTCATTGAAAACTAAACATTTTCTCTATATAATAATTTGAATCGTATACTCAGAAAATATACAGTAATAAATAACGTGGCAAAAGAAGTCTTCTATTCTAGTTTATTTACCTTTTATTTGAACGTCAGTGTAGCAGTTGGCCGTTGTGCCATCAGAAAAGAATGTGTGGCACCAGAATCTCCCATCATCACTCAGAGAGTTGAACACAAGTGCAGAGCCACTATCGATGCCGTAATTAGCTCCATACTCTGCCTGAATCTGAGTACCATCGGAGAAACGAGCACCAATGACCTTTGTAACAGTGCTGATGCCTTCTCCCGTTGACCAATATACCACAGATGATGGCGAGTTTGACAAGGCGCACTCACATGCCAGTCTGTGCCTATGCCCCCGCTTAAGGGTGGTTGTGGTGGATGTGTCGCTGCTAACAGCTGGAAAGATGTTTCCTGCAAAGGGTGATAAAGGGTATAGCAGACATCTTCTTTGATATAAAACAGGAATTTACCTCATCCTTTAGAATTTCACTCATTCCAAAGAAAGATTTTTTTTACTTGCAGTGGTGATGGACTGGAAGTGATTCATTATACATTTTAAGACTTTTCTTGGTTCTTGGCAACTATGCTTTTTTCTGTAGCTTACCAGTAAGCACAAGCACTCTATTTATGTGAACCTGTAAATTAATATGAATGTTGAGTAAATATTGTGATTGATCAGTTCAGAAAAAGGAATGACTGCCGTGAATAAAATACACTTTCCGTTAAGTTCTTTCAAACCTTCTACCAAAAAAGCAAGCTTCAAATCAAAATGGTTACAGGAAATTGGACATAAGTACATTACTTTATGTTCTTTTTAAGCGACGTTTTAAAATGGCGTATTTTAATCCTCTGCTGACCGTACATTTTTATATCTTTTTCTTACCAATAACGTTTACGTAAATATCTTCTTCTCTGTGCGTGGTGAAGTGCGGGATAACTTGGCAGAGGTACCGCCCTTCGTCAGCCTCGTTCACATGTTTAATGACAAGCCTAGATTCCGAAGAGAACATGTATCTGTCGCTGGTTGGGTAGACTGTACCTCTAGAGCGACTGATCAAACGAACTGTCATAGAGGTGTCATCAAGACTTGAACTCTTGTGCCATATGACGCCATCTTGCCTCTCGTGCGATCGGAACGATGGACAAGGAATCCTGTGAGTCACTCCCAGTTGTACGTTGGTTGTACCGTCCGTGGTATTAAATGCGTCTTGAACGTTTTCAACTGCAAAAAAACACAGCAACAAGTATTAATAAGGTGTCAGGAATTACCAATGGAAACAAATGCAAGGAACGCCCCAGGAAAAAAATCATTGTCTTAAACTTTTTGGTTTCCATGGTTTACGAGGGGTCTGGTCAAGAAAACACCATCTGTTTTTGTATTGCCTTTTTTGATGATACCAGTTACAACATAAAATCCCCTATCAGCTTTTTGGGTGCAGTTTTAGAGAAATGCGTTCTGAGATAATCTTTGTGTTTCTGAAATCTTTTTTTTTCTACGTAATGTCATTCTCACTTGAAGACGATGGACATAGGTTGTACTGTGCAGTGCACACAATCGAGCTTAAAAGAAATAGCATCCACCTCAGTGATGAAACCATCATGATCCACTGACTTCCGTACTTCTAAGCTGCTGGATAAAAAGAAGAAGTTACCAATGACTGTTACGAAGCAGTCTCAAGTGATTAAGGCAAATAAATGTTTTAACAAATCTCAGCTCCCATTAATTCTTCAAAATGGGGCGATCAAACACGTTTATCTTAAGTTGTCGCGGCCAGTTTATTTTGTTCGTTAATACCTGTGACAATTTTTATATTCCTGTTGGTGGAAACCTGTCATGTGACCGTGTATTAACATTTGATAATGCCCGCAGATGAGAAGTTATAATGCCCGCTGCGTAAAGCCTGGTTTCCATATGGTCGTTTGTAACGCAGACGGAACATAAGACGTGAAGGCGCAGACACGAACAGAAACGACGGTGCATGACGTCATTTCACCGCTTCATAATTCCAAACCTCTACGCCAGTCCCATGCATTTCATTGACGACCAGCTATTTGGTTGATCACTGGGGTGTAAGATTAGTTTAAGCATTAAGTAGAAAATGGGCAAATTGTACTGGGTACTAAGGTTTTTGTCTTCATACACCACAATTTGTTACGGCAGGTCTATAAAATGAAAATCCTTTGAATTTGTTACTCCCACGTGTACGTGTGCCGACATTCTCTGTTTCCAGATTTTCAATCGTCATCCCAAAAGTATCATAGCACTGAGACGGCTCTCCTGACGGTCAAGAGTGATATACTGCTGAAAATGAACTCTTAGCATGTCGTTTTGCTTGTTCTTTTGGACATAAGTTCTGCCTTCGATACAGTGATTTTAACTCATAAATATTCATGGTGCTGTTTACATGTATTACGAAAGACCTAATTTCTAATCCTTAACTCCCTTAATCCTAAACCAGTCAAATGTATTTGTATTGTATTGAGACAATGTAACTTATATTTTGTAAAAAAAAAAACGTGTAGAAGTGGAATGTAATTCATCGTAAGAGTGGGTGCTGCGTCTCGTATAAGCCTCAGCTTGTTCCATAGCATCCTACATCTTTGTTTATTGTATATGACTGAGTTAATATCATAACATTGTGGATCTTGTTACTCTGAATTTATTTTCATTGTTCACGTACCGTCAATGTTAACGAAGATGTCTAATAAACCAAACCAAACCAAACCCACATCAGTAAGGCTTGTTCTGCAGCATTTTTCCACCTTCACAATCTTAGGCGCATCAGTAAATTCCTCTCTCCTGATTCGCTTTCGCTTTTTTTGGCCAGCCGTCTGGACTATCGTAATGGTCTCTTGTATAGTTTGTCAGCAGCACAGATAATGAGATTACAGCGAGTCCAGAATGCTGCAGCTAGACTTCTTAATAATACACCCAAGTTTCAACACGTAACACCAATATAGCATCACCTTTACTGGTTACCTGTTTTGTACAAGATTAACTTCAAAATCACCCTGTTGTAACATACAAAACCATCTTTGGTCTTTATCCTGGATACTTTATGAATCTTGTCATCATTAAGAAAGCGTAGAAACAGAGCAGTGTTTTACTTAAAAAGTGATATGCAACTTGAATGAGCATGGACATTAATCGGTACAACAGACCAAACAAGCTAACAACCTTACACTAACAATCCTAGAAGTGCACCACAGTTGAAAACGAAGCCTTCAGATCATTGCTGTACTCAGTAAGGGTTGCTATTTGAATTCCTGTCACCAATTCTGTCTCGCGATCTCACATCGACCAGGCCTTGTTTACAAATACAATAATAAGATCACAACAGCAGTAATAAGGAAAATGAACTAGCTTTCACAATGTTGAATTCGTAAGCTTTTGTCAAGCAGTAGTACATATACAAGGCAAAGTTCCTTATCTCTGCGCCATATGGTCGCCACACTTGGCAGAAATTCTGTACTAGATTTTCCTGGCACACTTGCCATACATGCCACACTCGGCAGAAACTCAGGCACACTTGCCAAAGAGATACTTGCCACACTTGGCAAAAAACAGGAACAAACTCGCCAAAGGCTTGCCACACTTGGCAGAAAAAGGCAAAGTTGTTAGCAGAAAGACTTGCCAAACTTGGCATAACAGGTTGGAATTCTTTCGCACACTTGCCATGCAGACAAACCCCACCAGAACCAGTAGGTGCTTGTCATAAAATTAATTGTCATATGATTCTATTTATCCTTTGCAAATTCAGAAAATCTTACATAAAGCACGCCGTTTTTTTCACCGCTTGAACAGGCGGTTGGAATAAGCCCCACCAGAACAAGAGGGTGCTTGGCGTAGCGTTTAAGAAAAACAAAATGAAACATTACTAACAAAAAACTTTACGTTATAATCACTGCGAGATAATTCGCCTAAATTGTTTATTTGTTTACTTCGGAAACTGCGTGTCGCTCCCAGGTAGTTCCTGCCATTGAACCAGTAAAAGCTAACTTTATAGTCAAAAAATTATGGTGGAGATGGGGAGGTGGTGGGTTTTATTTGTGTGTTGCCGCCTCGAAAATCTAAGCCGAAGTGGCTCATTTTAGTGCCAAACTTGCTGTGGTTCAACATTTATTTCCTTGAGGCCTTCTGGCTTCACCAA